CCTCTTTGAGGACACCAGCCGGCTCTTCTCAGCCGATGACAGATGCCACTTCCGCGATGCGTACACCACCACATCATAGCGCTGGGAAAGATCCTGCAACCGAGGACGACGATGGCGACGACGACGACCCCGGGCTTCCATAGACAGCACGAACAGTGGGACGATTGGCCGCAGGACGAGATCGGCATGTCTCAACTAGGTGGTGCCCCGCTTGGTACCCAAAGAGCCTCACAGGTACTATCAAAGATAGTTTCTTTAAATACGTAGGCTCCATGAACTAACGATCATAAAGAATTATAAGTAATCGTGCATATCATATACTTGCAGGGTACGAGCCGTACGCACCGTCGACGCGACCATACCGACGTTGGCTACACTCCCAATGTGTTGCCAACAAATCCAAAGAGACAGAGGCGTCCGATGGATCCTTACACTCCTAGGTCTTAGTTTGTTAGGTCAAACGAATATTGGCGTCCAAAACGTGCGGGGTTATTTGGTTATGTTATGTCAAACTTATGTCAAAACAATGAAAATGTTATGTGGTAGCTTGTCAACTTGTGCACGAACTTTATTTATTTGCTTCATATTCGTTTCTTTGCGTCGCGGCAGCACTGCCGGTGAGATTAAGTACCAACTAGTTCGGGAACCGGCAGTCCTGGCGTATGTCAACGCCGGTGGCAATTTTTCGTAATCAATTAGTTAAAATAGTGGTTAACCGTTTAATGAAAGACGGAAAACAAATCATTGGCTTATCAAATTATCTATTCGGCCGTGAAAAAAATTCAACAAAAGACATAAACAAATCTATTATTGATTTTACGTCAAGCAATACTTAGAATAACTCTCACTATCGGCGCGACGCGTTCGGATTAAACCGTCCAGGTACCGCGGGCGGGCGACGGGCGAGGCATGCGGGCTTGCTGCTCGGACAAGCGGGACTGGGCGCTGTATTTATTCGGCTCTGCCGCGCCAAGGTCGGTGGCGCGGCAGGACCTGCCACGTCACGTTCACCGAAACCGGTCGTCGCCACGTCAGACCTCTGCCGCGCCACCATGCATGGGTGGCGCGGCAGGGGCATTTGGCCACGCCAGGACAATAGACGCGGCCAAAAGTGTTAGTTTTAAAAAAAACATGCAATGTTAGATTAAAAATTAGATTAAAAAAAAGTGTTAAAATTAAAAAAAATTCTCATCAAGTGGCGTCCGATTCCGCTGGGCCGACGACGCCGACCCAGTGGAGTCCGCGATGCCGCCGCTGACGGCGACTCGGGGGACATCCTGCCGGCGACCCGGAGCTTCGCATGATCCACTGGTGAGGATAGGATCTTCCGGTCGATCGATCGTGCACGGATAGAGCGTACACAGACCCTACTGACTGCCTGATTGATCGGTGTGGGCGTGTAGTGTAGCACTGCAGCGCAAGTTCTCGTGCGTCTGGATGCGCGTCGCGATCGGTTGGCACTTGGCAGTGGGCCACTGCCGGTCGTGTCCGTCCGTCCGTCCATAAGCCATTGTCGTTCTTCATCAGAGAGAGAGAGAGGCGTGGAGGCGACTTGGTTTATCGGGTAGTGGTTGAACGCGAGAAACTCAGTGCAGAACGTTCATCTGTCGGTCGACAGAAGGAATAACAGAAAACACAGCAGGTAGATGAAGGACGAAAACGATCGAAAAACTCTAAAGTGCAGAATTTTTATTTGAAATCTGTCGGTCGACAGAACGAAGCTTTAACATCTCACGCCACGGAAAACACTTAAAAACTCAATACAATATGTGTGCCGTGGGACCAAGTGCATGACTAAGTACATACATGATCAAGTTCAAGTGCATATAATAATTAACAAGTACATGATCTTTAGTCTTAGGTATTTAACACAATAGCCGACACATAAATACAAGTCTAGAACAAGCAATTAGTAGCTAGCAGGATAATAGGAATTAAAATTAGATGTAGCAACTAGCAATTGGGATGTATGACCTGTGCAGTTCAAATTCGGTTTAAACCGAATTTTGAATTCGGAATATTTCAAATTAAAAGTAGAAAAGTAGAAAACGGTTGAAAAATGTCTAAACCGTTTTATACTTTTACATTTGAAATACGAAACATCTGAAATGTGAAAGCGAAAACGGTAAAGTCGGACAAGAAAATACGGATTCGATCGGATTAAATATAGAAAACGATGCGCGGATCGGTTCGGGATATTTCTGTTCCGTTTTCGTCGTTAGATAAGAGTACTCTATAATATAAGACCGGATGATGTTCCATCACCAGTGGATGCAGATGGAGGAGATGGTGGTTTGGTCCGTGACGTGGAAAAGCCCAGCAGCGCCAGCGGGAACTGCGAAGCTCCCACGCCCACCGACGCAAGCGCGACGCCGTAACAACGGATCGGAGTCCATCGGCAACTCACTCGTGGATTTCGCAGGAAAACGGGCAGAATCTCCTGTGACCTACCAGTTTTCCCGGCCGGAGTTGCCCGTACGCGAAGGAAAAGAAAGGGGGCGGCCACGCACGAACGCAAGCAGAAGTAGTCCTCGGCTCCTCGCGCGTCGCGGGGGCGGACGTGGCTTTCCTTGGTCCGGCAGCGGAAAACGACGGCGCGGGCGCGGCGGAGAAACTGAGAAAGGCCAAGTATTAGGCGACGGCGGACAGCGGAGGTATAGTACGGTACGAGAAAGCGACCGATACGCATTAGGCCTGGATGCGACGGGGACTGATGGTTCGGTCGAGGCAACACAACACCGATGGGTGAGTGGGAGATGCGTCGATCCAGCACCACCCGCTGGTCTGGTCCACTACGGCGTTACCGGATCGATCCTTCGCTACCTTTTTCCCGTCGATCCGTGCACTGAACCTGACCGGATGTCGGGTTGCTCCCCCGGACGGACGGACGGACCGTGGTGGATGCGGATCGGATGCGCTCTGTCGCCTTTGGCCTCGGGGACTGTGGGTGGAACGCTACGCACGCCGTTGCGTGGCAATGGCAATGCAATGCTTTACCGCGGGCGACACGGACAGATCGACCGATCCGTCCGTGCCTCCGTGGATCCAGGCATCCGTTCAGCACCTTTGCTTGATTGCTTCGCCATCACTTCGGTAGAGCTCTGTTTGTTTAGTACTACCAGTAGGGTAGTATATACCAAAAGATCTAGCACTAGGGGGCCTGCAGTTCGGAGATCACACGAGCCATGCTTTGACGGACCGTGCTCACTATTCAGTGTTCACTGACCGGTGGGCCTACGGCCACGAGCGCCCTGTTCCGGAAGTCGCCAGCTCGAAGTCTGAATCTTGGCCGATCTGCAGGAAGCGTCGGTTGCAAGCAGACGAAGTGAAGTGAAGCACGAAGATCGGGCGGCGGGACCACGGCCGCCGTGGGCGCAGGCGCGCCCAGCTGACCGATCCGGCATCCCGGGGTCCGGCGCTCCGGCCTCGGGGTCGGGGCAGGCAGACGCAGCTTCTTCGCACGGGATCGGGATGGACGGGCCTTGGCTGCCGCGGCGTCCAGTCCATCTCGACGGATGGCGCCACGTCCATGCCAACACCACACGAACGGGTACGGTAGGGTAGGGACGTAGGTTGAGTGCCGCCCCGACTCCCGGCCCCTTCGACCTCTCTACATGCTACAGCCTCTTCTACAGCACAGGGAAGCTCCCCCTCCCATCCATCATCATTCCCTCCACCGGGTCCAGGCCGAGCTCCCCAGCCCAAACAATGGATCCCCGGTGGCTGGCTCCCGCTTCCCGCTTCGAATCAGTGGATGGCCGGCAGGATCGCGGAAACATGCCCGGGCTTGTCCAGGATTGCGGAGCACCTTTCCCGATTATCTTAGCATTCTGCTCAACCTTTTTTTAAAAAGACTGGCTTTTGTCATGTAACGTGCGGTACGGATTGTGGTAGGGGAGGACAGATGACATGATGAGATGCGGCCGTTCACTTACAGTACATGATTAAAAAAAAGCGGTGTCTTTGTAATGCGAAGGATGAAAACATCTTGTACCAATTGGAAACATTACTATAAAAAATATCAACATTTATGTGTCCACGTAAGTTTACTATAAAAAAATATTTCATAACTAATCTTACTATATTAATTTAGTATCATAAATGTTAGTAGTTTTTCATGTAACATAGTCAAACTTTTAAATTATTTTATTTCTCAGGAAGTGAGAAATGCATTCATTTTGAGATGGAGAGAGCAGATAGAATTTATAGAGTCTATAAATGGGTATTCAGTTAGAAATGGATAGATAGAGTAAATATAACTAATTCTCATTACCTGTGTGCATATTAAATTTATGCACGTAACTTGCCAAATTTGAAACTGCGCTACAGCACAAGTTGATGTCCTATAGTGGACAAAATCGGTAAAGCATCAACCATCGTAGAGAAAAAAACTGACCAAACTTTCTCGAGTTTTAATTAAAACCATAGATAGAGGACAAGGACAATGATCATCACTAACCTAGTGGTTGAGATACGTACCCCTGGACCCTTATGGCAAAGGCCGTATATTCTTGAGATGCAAATTAATTAAAACCATGAAACTGTTTTTGTTCCAAAAGGAGTAAAGGACTAACAAAAAAAAAGTTATTTTAGGTTTTAAAACCTTATTGGTTAGGAGACATGAACTATGATGAACTTCTATAGTGCATCTTATACAACCTTTAGTGCCCCTAAAACTTTGTTGAAAAGGCCGTAGATTCCTGCGCTAAAACTGAAAGGAACCTACATGATTATTATGATTAATCAAGGGACACGACACGAGCCCATCGATCCATGCTCTCCGGTCGTAAAGGAGAACCAACTGGACTTGCTTTAGCAGAGCTACAAAACACAAGGTTGTCGACGCAAAATCGCCTAACAAATCAAGTAGAAAACCCCACCCCTTTATCACCTTCCCCACTCTCAATTAGTAGCTTCATTCATTCATCACCCACCCCTCCCCTCCACACACACACACACAAGCAAACAAGCAAATCGAAGAAGAAAGAAGAAGAGGATCCATGGAGAAGTGCAGGTCGGTGCCGCACGAGCACTCGTCGGCGTACTACGGGTGCGGCGGCGGGTACGACTACGAGGACGTCGGCGGCGGGCCCGGGCAGGCGGGCAAGTCGTACAGCTTCAACGGGCCGAGCGGCCGCGACGACCCGGAGGCGAAGCGGCGGCGCCGGGTGGCGGCGTACAACGTGTTCGCCACGCAGGGCCGGATCAAGACCACCGTCCGCAGCAGCGTCAAGTGGTTCAAGTCCAAGTTCTCCGACATCCGCTACGGTGGCCTCTGAACTCAACCTGCAGCTGCATGCAATCCATCCTACTCCTACTCCTACCCCTACACCACATTTATATACATGAGATATATATATGTATGAATCATGATGCTCATATGCAATTATATATGCACGCACAAGTTACATGTGTGCTAGCAACGCCAACGGCCAAGCTAAATAGCTGCTGCATATATATATATATATATATATGGAGGCACTACTGTGTACATGCTATGTTTATAGGCATGTGTCATGTGTGCGTGTATGAACTGTGTGTGTATGGTTGGTCTCAAGTCACAGTGTGCTTGCTTTCCAGATCGGCCTGTGTGTTTTGTGTTTGCTTTTGCTCTGTCAGGAAAGAAACGGTGGTTGGTTGTACTCTGCTTCAATCTGCAAATCAAGTTGTATCATCAATCATCATGCCCTTGCTTTGATCTGGTTTGCTTTTCAGTTTCCACCACAGTTGTTTGTGTTCTCTGTTTTGAAAGTGAAGGTTTTCAGTTTCAGTGGTTGAAATTCGACCTTGCTGATCTGAATTCGGATGGTTTATTTCTCCCGGAAAGGCGAAAGCCGAAATATCTCTTTTTGATCTTTGAAAAAAGTGCTCTTGAGCACAAACAACGCAGGCTGTTGCCAGCAAAGATGGATCGACCAAGAACTGAATGAATAATAAAACTAATTCGTCTTTTCAGAAGAGATGCTTATTGTTACATGTAATGAACAAATGATTCTTGTTTTCTGAAGAGATGCTTATTGGTACATGTAATGATATATGAGGCATCAGTCTCCACAATTCAGAGGATGCTCAAGCTCAACTGGAGAAGAACAGCCGCGCCGCCCGGCGCCCCGGCCTACACACGGTCCACAAGAACGTACTGCTTGGAAGAAGGGATTCGTCCGATCCGCGCAGCGCCCGAGCGGCCGCCTCGAAGTCCGACACGAAGGCTGCCGACCTGCTCTCCGGGTCGCGGTTCACGGTGTTGCCGCCGCTACCGGACAGCGGCTCGCCTTTGGCCTCCTCCTCCTCCACGCCGTCGTCGCCTCCATCGTGGTCCGGAGCCGCGACCAGGTGGTGGTCCTCGCCATCGTCGTCGCTGCCTGAGTGGTGGGACTGTGGGTGGCGTTTGCCGTCGGCAGCTGCTTCTGATCTTGCGCTGGCTTCTGAACCGGGCTCGCTTCCTGAACGACCGGGCTTGCCGAAAACCGTTTCGCGACTGTGCTGGATGAGGCGTTGACGATGGTTTTTTCTGATGACTCGTGAGCGCTGGAGGAAGAATTAGCAGCAGCTGATTCTTGGCCTGGATTTCCTGTGTTAGTTACTGGTTCTTGGCCTGAGTTCTCCGTGTCAGTCAGTTCATCATCAGTCCATTCATCATCCTCCTGGTCCTGGACACGTGTGAGCAACAGAGCCCAAAGACAGAGCAGGCAGTCAGGATAACAATAGCAGAAGCAGGGATCATTCATTTGTTCCTGCAAGAGTTTAGTTTCATAGTATATGTGGTAATATAAAACGGGCCTAAAAATGCTGGATTTACCTGGAACAAATTGAAGGGGACACCTGGTTTTACCCGGATAACCAACGGCAGCCTCCGCCTGCAAGCAAGATCAGAGAGCACCGGTCAGCCAACGAAAAGGCGTTCTCCGCAACGTGCCTGGGTGGTTCTCCACGGCCACGGTTCTCACTTCCTCGCGCCGACTTCCTCCTCCACCACGACGGGGAGCGCCGAGAGGTCGCACGGCAGCGGCGGCGTGCTGAAGAACTGCAGCGGCAGTGGCGGAAGCACTTGTCACCAGGGAGCAACAAGAACAGGAGCGAGACAAGAAGTAATCAGGTGACGCACACTGCTCTGCAGGGCCTGTCCGGCGGTGCCGCGCGCGGCCGGGTCGAGCGCGAGGAGCGTGGCGAGCAGGCCGATCGTCGACGGCGGCAGGTCGCGGAACCGCTCGGCCGTCGTGGACTTGTACGGCTCGGGGGGCTTCAACGACGGCGACAGGTTCATCTTCCGCCAGTAGTCGTCCGGCGGCGACCCGAACAGCGTGAAGATCTTCAGCAGCTGATCCTTCTGAACGCACCAAACAAAAGCAGGGGCAGCTCTTTTGTCGTCCCATCACAATTTCTCAAGAATTTTGCAGGACGAGAAAACGAGAACAAGATGAGCTCAGTTCACCTCGCCACTGCCGTGCATGAGAGTCTTGCCGAAGAACATCTCGGTGAGGAGGCAGCCGGCGCTCCACAGGTCGACGCCGACGCCGTAGCTGGTGGCGCCCAGCAGCAGCTCCGGAGCGCGGTACGGGAGCGAGACGACGCGGTTGGGGGCTGGCTGCCAGCGACCGGCGCCGTAGTCGCTGGAGAGGCCGAAGTCGCCGATCTTGAGCACGCCGTGGCGGTCGATCATCAGGTTGCCGTGCTTGATGTCCAGGTGCAGGATGCCGTGCTCGTGGCAGTGCTGCAGCCCCTCGAGCAGCTGCTGCATGTAGCACTTGATCTGAAACCGAGCGAGCATTGACAACCATCAAAAGAAGAGGTTTCAAATGTGCTAGAATTTCAAAAAAAAAGTAATAGTGACATTCAAGAAAAGTTTAGATTACTTCTGGTCTGTGTGCACATTTCAGGTGGACTGGACTGGTTCTACCTCTACAGCAGTGTTTTATACTAAAAAGTGATTGCAAATTTCATGAAATTCAGGCATTGGGCGTTTCACTGTTCAGAAAGCAGGTTATTCACTGTTTGTAGCTTGAGCAGCAGAGCAGGACTAGAGTACCTCTGAATTGACCAGATCACATGTGCCACAGACCATAGATGTGACCAAGACACGTGCTAACAATATGCCAAACACAATCACTGTCAGACAATGCGACCGTGTCCGTGTAGCTTCGGAAAGTCTATTTCCAGACGGTGGAATATGCAACCAGACTAGCTAGCTCTTTGAACTACCTGGTCTCACCTTGCCAGGAGCTGCACAGGGCAAAGCATCCAACAATGTTTTTTAAATTGGTTATCACAAAAGCATTTGATTCAATCGGATAGGATTATTTCCTAGAGGTGCTGCAGCGACTTGGTTTCGGCAACCGATGGCGCGCTTGGGTGACGGCTTTAATTTCAATAACCTCCTCAGTAGTTTTTGTCAACAGCTCACAAGGAAAGTGGTTCAGGCACGGTCGAGGTCTCAGGCGACCCTTTGTCGCTATTGTTTGTCCTTGCAGTTGACCTGTTGCAAAAGATGTTTGACAGGGCCACCCAAATTGGGCTACTACAGCCGGTTCAGCACCCCAATTCCAATTACATAGCCCTCGGCAAATTTAACCGAGAACCGAACCGAAAGAACCGGAATCGAAACCGAAAGAATCGGAACCGAAAAATTCGGTTCCTTATTCGGTTCCTGATATTGAGGAACCGAAATAGCCGAAGAAAATCGGTTCCTACTGGTTAACCAAATTAACCGAAAGAACCGAATTATATGAATTATACTTCACTTGTATTTTGTAGGATTATGTTTGGTTTATGTGTAGTGTTTTATATTTGAACTGCTATACATTTGTGTTACTATATTGCTATTGTTTTCTTATATATTATTATTATTATTAAAAATGAATATAATGTTGCATAAATTTGCCTTAGAACAAGTATATTTATTATTGTCTTGAAGCGACACAGTAGGAAAAAATCGGATTAATTAGATTAGATTCTGGGGGTTGCAGAATCAAACATGGAAATCGTCGAGAACCAAAATATCTCCTTTTTGAAAAATTTTAGCAACATAAGCTCGATGCTCGACAGGTCCAACTTTTCAATTTTGAACGAATTTTATCAATAATTGAGGGAACAAATCGAGAACCGAACGCCCACACTAAATTACACGAGCATTCACTCGTTTCAAATCGAGCAGTCGATCACAGTCACTGGCGTAATCATACAGTGGGCCCCAATAGACTAACCTTATGTTTTCATCCATCCGTGTCTCTTTTGCATTTCTTCTCTTTATATCTTTTCTCTCTCTAAGTTTCTAGATGGGCTCCGCACATCGCCGGCCACCAGGAGGCTTCGCGTATCAATCGCCGGGAGGCCGCTGGAGAGCCTCGGCTGATTCACGCCTTGAGCGCGCGGTCAATACCGGCGGAAGTGGTTGGCGCAAGGGCCATCGCGAACATGAGCCGGTGAGTTTCCTTTCTCTCTCTCTCATCCCGTCTCCGCTCACTAGCCGTCTCCTATCCACTTATCCTGTTCAGATGCGACGATATTGATCTCTACAACCACACTGATGCGACTTGGTGGGATGCAGGGCTTGGGCCAATGCATGCTGCTGAAAGGGATGAACTCGGCATCAGGCGGCGCAGTAGGAAAGGTAGCTCAGCCTCCTGTAGATGCACGCATTCTGGAGGGTTGCGGGCATGGCACCATGGTCCATGGACATCGTCGAGCGGGCTCTCCTAGTATCTCCCTCACATTTGAGCGTCCCCGGCATCATCCTCATAAGCTCCATGCTCGACAGCATCCAACTGTGTGTACGCAATTTTGATATATAAGTTGTATCCATAATTTTAATATATAAGTTTGTTGTTAATGTTATACACATAAGTTATACTAGAAATTTTGTTAGAAGTTTGCCCAAAAAAAAGTTATACTTACAAGTTGCAATGATAGTCTGTCCGTAAAAAAAAGTTGTCATAACTTACTTGCATAAGTTATACTTAAAAGTTATCGTGATAAGTTATGCATTTTATGTTATCAAAATAAATTCTTGTCTGCAATTTTGTCTTCTCTATGATTTTATAATATACGCATAAGTTATGCTAGAAGTTTGATATAAGTTTGTCCAAAGAAAAGTTATACTTACAGGTTGTAGTGATAGTTTGTCAGCAAAAAGTTATGAAAAAGTTGGGTCATAACTTAAGTGTAGAAACTATACTTAAAAGTTGTCATGGATACGTTAATTAAAAGTTGTCATGATAAATTAATATTTAAAAGTTGTCATGATAAGTTGTGCATTTTATGTTATCAGAATAAAGTATTGTCTATGATTTTGTCTTCTCAATGATTTTATAAAAAAATAATAAAATTAATACGATGCTCCAATCCATCAACACATAGCATATATTGATAAATACGTCTATAATAGCTATAAAAAATATATATGGTGAAACTTGCATTCATAGTAATAAATTAAAATCATGTTGTTAACTTATACTATTAACTTATTACACATACATAGTTTCATGTTTGCCATGCTAATGGACATATATAGCCTCAAGCTTCTGTCCTGGCTTTAAGTTCGTGGACCGTTTTGGACGTTTGACTTTGGGCCTGAACAGATATTTTTAGTTTCACAACAAAATGAGGGACTATTAGAAGATTTTTCTCTAGTCCACTGACTTATTGGAAGAGACTTTTAAACTAATGGACAATAATTAACTTATATGTCTAACTTATACTGTTATGCAAGATTTGGACTTTTTTTCAAACTTTTAACGTAATGAAATATAGTATACGCTGTAAAACTTACTTTTATTTTGCTCCTCCCACCCAAATATTTCCCCCCTTTTCCTCCTTTCCCAAGTGACTAGTTGCAGAATGTGAAAATATTTTCACCCTAAAAGAGAGTGGTTGACGTAGCAAAAATTAATAGCGCGTGAAAAGGGAGTCAACCGTGCGGCAAAAGAATCAAGCGAAAATCGAGTCCAGCACGAGAAAAGGAGTGCGAAAAGAGAAAGAGACGATCCATGCCGTGCGACAACAAAAAAAAGAAAAAGTCATCAATATTTTATTCTAGAAAGTCTCTGTCGTTCGCTGAGCAAGACTAGAGCGATCGTTCGCTAATTAGTGCCGTCGGTTCAGCACAGGGCAGTTAAGTTACGGGTGTCATTGTACACAGATGATTTAGCCTTATTTCTTAATCCAAATAGACAAGAGATAAGGGGCAATGCGGATCTTATCAACATTTGCACATGCTTCGGGAGGCTGTGGCAGGAGTGGTCAAGTGCAGGGAGGCCCTCAGCAGGGACTGCTGCACCCTGCAATTCCGTGAACAAAGTGCTATTTCGAGCATCAACGGTCGTTACGGCGGGCAGGGGAGATAAAGCCTTGTTCTGGCATTTGTCGTGGCTTGATGGTCAAGCTCCCGTTGATAGCTACTAACCTGTACTCCCAAAAGTCCTAAAATAAAGGTCATTCTCACTTTTTGAAGAGTTAAACACTTTTAACTTTGATCAAATATATATATAAATTGGTTAATATTTATAATATATAATTAATATCATTAGATAGATTATTGAATATATTTTCATAATAAACTTATTTAGATATATAAATGTTACGCATATTTTCTATAAACTTAGTTAAAGTTAAAAAAGTTTGATCCGCATATGTCCCGTATCGATTTCTATTTTGGGACGAAGAGAATACACACTAGCTTAAAGGAAAAATTAAATGGTGAAGGACGACCTACTCAATGACAACTGGATTCGGTGGCTGTGGAGGTTGGAGACCGTGCATCAGATGGCCGAATTTGTGAAGTTATGGGACCTGGAATAGCCCAACAACTCAACTACCAAGATGATCAGATTTTATGGAGGTGGACAGCAGATGGGACCTACACTACAAAAGCCGTGTTCGGCTGGCTGTCTGGCTCGTTGCCGGCTGGCCAGCCACCTTACAAAATCATTATTCATGTTCCGTCATAATAGTATTTTTCTCTCACAATCATCAGTCGAAATCAGTATTTTTCAGGTCCACCAACAGGGCCAAAGTCTGTATATCGGCTCAGTTCAACGTATCTTACTCAGATATAATGGCGAATTCAATTTGGAAGGCTCATGCTGAAGGCAAACTAAAATTCTTCGTGTGGCTGCTGGTGCAAGCAAAAATCTTAACAGCTGATAAACTTGTGTTGAGGCATTGGTCCTGCAACCCAATCTGCTCACTTTGTGACCAAGAAGCGGAAACAGCTGCCCATATTTGCATTCACCGCCATTTCCAAAGGAAGTCTCGTTGCTAGTTCAAAATTGGTTTGGAGATCACATTGTCCTCATTGATGAGGGTATGCAGACTTTGAAAACCTGGTGGGAGAAGTCACTGCAGGGGAGATCAGCAACTCAGCAGAAAACCTCGGCAGCCATCTTGATGTACTCAGCTTGAAATATCTGGAAAGAGCGCAATTGAAGAACCTTCAAGGGGACAACGAGAACACGACCATATACTGTGCGCTAAAGAATGCGGACTCCAACCCGAATACATGGGCCAAGTTCGTCTGGCAAAACAAGGCACCATCCCCGCGTGAAGTTCTTTGCTTGGCTACTCTCTCAAGGGCGCATCCAATGCTGAACAAACTTTGAAGAAAGGAATCGTTGATGATGCAACATGTGAAATTTGCCATGCTTTGGATGAGTCACCAGCACACATCATATTCGGATGCGCTGCGGCCTGCAGCTTCTAGAATGCGATCAGGGATTCAGGGTTACAACATCGGCTACATGGCAAGTCTAGAAGCTCATGGAGATTCAGTGTCCAAGCCATATATATCCCAGTTCGGCACTTCAGGACCTTCTTGCTCTTATGCTGCCAGCACATTTGGAAATGGTGGAATAACAGAATCTTCAGGACAGAACACACAACTCTCGCGGGGACCTTGGGGATTGCAAAGCAGAAGCATTTCTATGAGGGGCAAGAGTACCGAAAGCAGACAAAGAGGTTGTGAACACTTGGTGCCAGGTGGTAGCAAACGCCATGTAAAACATACTCCCTCCGGTTCTCTAAAGCAAGTCGTTTTGGACATCGACACGGTCTTTAAGAAACGACTTTAACTGTAACTTTTTGCTATAAAATATTTATAAAATATAGTCAATATATACTTTTATGAAACTACATTTCGAGATGAATCTACTTACATCACTTTTATATTTTCAAACTCAACCCAAAAGAAGTTATTTGTAGTCAAAGTTTAAAATATTTGACTTAAGACAACCTCAAAACGACTTGCTTTAGAGAACCGGAGGGAGTAAGTAGATGGTGTGTATGTAAACGCTTTGTGCAAAACCAAAATGTACCTTGACTATCAGGCCTATGGAGGCCACTCTGAATGAGTGAAATCAGGAGGGAGACCATCTCCCCTTCCGTCGACTTATAAAAAAAAACGAGAACACCAACCCAAGTTCTGGGGCTGATCAAGGGAAGAGTTGGGTCTCTTCAGTAAAGCTTTGAAGAAACTAGAGTTAACTTCATGAGTATCCTCTTTCTTATCTCCATGTTTATGAGTTTGAGTGGTCATAATAATGTAACAATCAAATTGTTGTAACTGGTTTGCTTCCATCTTATAAGATATAGCAGTGCTCCTGCTAATTTTTCCAAAAAAAACACGGTGGCATACCCGAGTGTTCGATCTTCACTGACACAAGGTGCCCAACATGGCCGTTGGCCGGCCGGTCAGGTGGATGGATGGATGGATGGGTCCAAAAAGGGAAACACAAACGACCACATGCACAGAAGCAACAACCAGAAATAGGTGGCGTATCCAAGGCGAGTGATGAGTGAGATCTGAAGACGACGGCCGCCATGGCCAGGTGACCGTCGACACGTCGTGGATGGTCTGAGAATGAAGGAAAGGAAAGGAAAGGGAAGGACGGCGATACCTGCGGCTCGGTGAGGCACCTTCCGGAGCGGAAGACGAGCCTGCTGAGGTCGTCGTACATGAAGTCGAAGACGAGGTAGATGCTGCGGCGGGAGGTGGCGATGCCCTCCAGCTTCATCACGTTGGGGTGGTCCAGCCGCCGCAGGAACTGGATCTCCCTCGCCATGAACCGCACGCTCTCCGAGTCCGACGCGTTGAACCACACCTTCTTGAGCGCCACGATCCGCCCCGTCCCGCGCTCCCGCGCCTTGTACACGCTGCTGTACGAGCCCTCACCGACCTTCTCGATCTTCTCGTAGGCGTGGACGCTCTTGGGTACAATGCCCTGCAGCACCTCGCGGGGCACGTTGTCCAGGAGCCACGTCGGCCAGCCGTCCACCAGCTCGTCGTCACGCCGCGGCGGGTGTGGCGGCAGTGGCGGCGGGGTCGCCGCCGTCGCGGCTGACGCTGCCTGTGCCGCGGCGTCGGCCTCGGCGTCGGCGTCCGGCGTCTTCCCTGTATAACAATGTGCCCCTGTCTGATTGCTAGAACTATTTTGGGAGGATGTTTCTTCAGTGCTGCTGCCACCACGCCATTTCGCTCGGGGCGCCAGCACGCCCATCACCGCCACCAGCGCCACTGCTGCCGCCGCCGCCATCATCCGCATCGCCATCTCTCTTCTGTGGAGTGTGGACAGCGGGGGGCAGGGCCTGCACGAGCACGAGCGTCGTCGGACAACATAAGGACGGAGACGCGTTAGCAGACAACATAAGGACGGAAACGCGCTAGCGCGGCAGCGGGGAAAGCCACGCCCGGCCTCGCGTCGTCAGTAGCACAGCCAAGAAGACACAACTACAGCGCCAAGAGGCCAGACAGGCAGACCACTCACACCATGAGCTAGCGAGGGCTGCTGGCAATGTCGCTGCTGGATGGAGGCGCTGCCAATTTGCAACGAAGATGGGCGACTCCTCCAGAGCGCTGCCAGCCGGAATACAGGCTGCAGATGTTTTTTTTCGGAATGCTTGACGGCGACGGGACGGCTCTTGGTCAGAGCTATACAGGAGCCAGGAGGGTGATATTACACGGGGGCAGGGAGGGAAGGAAGCCGGAGCCGGCGACGCATGCGTGGCCTGAGCCGTCGGAAAGGCGAAAACTGAAATATCTCTCTTGATCGAGCACAAACGAAACGACGCAGGCTGTTGGCAGCAGCCAGCAAAGATGGATCGACCAAAACCCTTGAATGAATAATAAAGGCAGAATAACGTTTTTGGTCTTGAACTATTACTCGAGGCTCACTTTCGTTCCTGAAAGTTTTAAAATGGCTATTTTAGTCCTTAAACTCTACTTTTGGGCTCACTTTCATCTAGAACTACGAAGATGATCATTTCAATCCTCAAACTTTGCCTTTTGGACTCAATTTCATCCATAAACTTTCAAAGTGTATTTCGGTCTTTAAACTTTATCTTCAACTCAACTTTGTCTATAAATAAAACTTTATATTTTAGGCACAGTTTCATCCATGAATTACAAAATGCATTTTGGCTCAACTATAATAATATAGGGTTATAGGTCCAGCACCACCCACGTTTTGAGATGGACGGTTATTGTTAGGTACTATTGTCCCTAGTGTCGTCCTAGCTAACGAATCGGATAGCAGACTTTCAACATTTATATTCATATTCTAAGATGCATATAGATATAAATATTCTTAAATATAAACTATTTTTATCCTATGGATAAAAAATATTATTTTATACACTAATTATTTTTAGTTGAGCCTAACTCTAGAAGTAGCTAAGGAAAAAATATAGATTTGCTATTATTTCAGTATATATCCATGTATTCTTAAGGAATAAATAGCGTTCCAAGCAACTGTAATTGCTCCCATAAAAATCATTTAATAGGATATATATATATATATATGGTACCATTATAAGGTAACATAATAGCTTGGGATTATTAATGGCCACTAAAGAGTTTTTTATGAATATTATATGTTCTATCTCCGATTGACGGTGGTGTTGGAGATGAACAGGTGCAACAGTGCAATGTTTCACGTAGGACGATAGATAAAGTTCAGTTGAAAAATAAAAGTTTAAAGTCTAAAATACATTTTGATAATTTACGGATCAAGTTGAAGCCAAAATGCAAAGTTTGAGGACTGAAACGATCATCTTCATAATTTTGGGATGAAATTAAACCTAAAAGTAGAGTTTGATGACTAATACGGCCTTTTTAAAAGTTTGATGATGAAAATGAGCTTTGAGTAATAGTTTAGGGACCAATACGACTATTCTACCCATAATAAAACTAATGATTATTCTTTTCTGAAGAGATGATTATTGGTACATGTAATGATATGAGGCATCGGTCTCCACAAATCAGAGGATGCTCAGCTCAACTGGAGAAGAACAGCCGCGCGGCCTACAGGTGCTCCACAAGAACGTACTGCTTGGAAGAAGGGAATTCGTCCGATCCGCGCAGCACCACGGCGGCCGCCTCGAAGTCCGACACGAAGGCAGCCGACCTGCTCTCCGGGCCGACGCGGTTCACGCCGCCACCGCCGCTGCCGATGCCGGAGGGCGGCTCGACACCGGCCTCCTCCTCCTCCTCCTCCCCGCCGTCGCCGTGGTCCGGAGCCGCAACCAGGTGGTGGTTGACGTGATCGTCGCCGTCGCTGGCCGAGTGGTGGGATGTGTTTGCTGTCGGCAGCTGCTTCTGATCTTGCGCTACCGTCTGAACCGGGCTCGCTTCCTGAACGACCGGGCTAGCCGAAAACAGGTTCGCGACTGTGCTGGATGAGGCGCTGACGATGGTTTTTTCTGATGATGCGTCGTGAGCGCTGGAGGAAGCATTAGCAGCAGCTGATTCTTGGCCTGGATTTCCTGTGTTAGTTACTGGTTCTTGACCTGGATTTACCCGGGTGGTAATGTCCAACGGCCGCCGCCGGCTGGGCTGCTGCGCCTGTTTCTCAGGAGGAGACCCGCTGTTGATCTCCGACTGCTGCTCCTCCTCGGCTTTCTGCTTGCCGTCCTTCCGCCTCTGCGAGCGCTGTCTCCTCGACCTGCACGCAAGATCAGAGACCACCCGTCAGCCAACGAAAGGGCGTTCTCCGAAACGTGCTTGTCTGGTTCTTCACGCCCACGGTTCTCACTTCCTCGCGTCGACGTCGTCCTCCTCCTTGTACACGACGGGGAGCTCCGAGAGGTCGCACGGCAGCGGCGGCGTGCTGAAGAACTGCAGCAGCGGCAGCAGCACTTGTCAGCAGGGAGCAACAGGAACCGGCCGGAGCGGGACAAGAAGTAATGTTGTTTGGTTACTCAGGGGAAGGGGACGCACGCTGTTCTGCAGGGCCTGTCCGGCAGTGCCGCGCGCGGCCGGGTCGAGCGCGAGGAGCGTGGCGAGCAGGCCGAGCGACGACGGCGGCAGATCGCGGAACCGCTCGGCCGTCGTGGCCTTGTACGGCTTGGGGGGCTTGAACGACGGCGACAGCTTCATCTTCCGCCAGTAGTCGTCCGGCGGCGACCCGCACAGCCTGAAGATCTTCAGCAGCTGATCCACCTGGAAGTATCAAAGTCCCACCACTATTTCTCAAGAAATTTGCATGATGGAGACGACGGCGAGAACGAGATGGAGATGAGCTGATCACCTCGCCACTGCCGGGCATGAGGGGCTTGCCGAAGAACATCTCGGCGAGGAGGCAGCCCGCGCTCCAGAGGTCGATGCCGACGCCGTAGCTGGTGAAGCCCAGCAGCAGCTCCGGGGCGCGGTACCAGAGCGTGACGACGCGGCTGGTGAGCGGCTGCCGGCGCCCGGCGCCGTAGTAGTTGGCGAGGCCGAAGTCGCCGATCTTGAGCACGCCGTGGCGGTCGATCAGCAGGTTGGAGCCCTTGATGTCCCGGTGCAGGATGCCGCGCTCGTGGCAGTGCTGCAGACCCGCGAGCAGCTGCTGCATGTAGCACTTGATCTGCAACCGACCATGCATTGGCAACCATCAAGAGAAGAGGTTTCAAATGTGCTAGTCTGCTAGAATTTCAAAATAAAAAGTAAATTTGACATTCAAGATGCTTTGCTTAAATTACTTCTGGTCTGTGTGCACATTTTACTATACAAACTATAAAGTGATACTCCATCTATTCCAAATTATAAGACATTCTCAATAATCTTAGAGAGTCAAAACATCTTAAGTTTAACCAAAATTATAGAGAAAATTATAAAGATTTATAACATTAAATAGGTATACAATGAAAAATATAATTAATAAAGAATCTAATGATATTTAATTGATATCATAAATATTATTATTATCATATAAATTTGGTCAAACTTGAGATCTATTGACTCTCTAAGATTCTTAGAATAATTTATAATTTGGGAGTCGAGGGAGTAGTAAATTTCATGAAATTCAGGCCTCGGGCGTTTCACTGTTCAGGAACCAGGGCTCTCAGCCTCAGCGCCTCCATTGGCAGAATTGACAGCAGACTGCCATTGTCACTCCTATATGGCCGCGTCAGACAAAGAACAGTGGTGACATGAACGACCAAGATCACTTTGCTACAGGTTTCCTGCTGCAGTGCCCAGGGAGCTACCCGTACAGTGATATGGTCTCTACAAAATTTGCTACGATTTTTACTTGTAGCTTGAGCAGCAGAGCAGGACTAGAGTACCTCTGAATTGACCGGTTCCCATGTGCCACAGACCATAGATGTGACCTAAGGTGTGTGCTAACAATATGCCAGACACAATCACTGTCAGACAATGGCAAACAGTATTTTTGATAGGGGCCGTGTCCGTGTAGCTTAGGAAAGTCTATTTCCAGACGGTGGAATATCCGAGCGTTCGATCTTCACTGACACAAGGTGCCCAACATGGCCATTGCCGGCCGGTCAGATGGATGGATGAATGGGTCCAAAAAGGGCAAGACAAACGGCCAGAAGCAACGGCCAGAAACAGGCGACGTATCCAAGACGAGCGATGAGTGAGTTCTGAAGAGGACGGCCGCCATGGCCAGGTGTCCGTCGTCGTCGTCGTCATGCATGGTCTGCGAATGTGAGAAATGAAAGGGAAGGACGACGATACCTGCGGTTCGGTGAGGCGCTGGCCGGAGCGGAGGACGAGCCTGCCGAGGTCGGAGTACATGAAGTCGAAGACGAGGTAGATGCTGCGGTGCATCCGGGAGGTGGCGATGCCCTCCAGCTTCATCACGTTGGGGTGGTCCAGCCGCTGCAGGAACCGGATCTCCCTCGCCATGAACCGCACGCTCTCCGACTCCGACGTGTCGAACCGCACCTTCTTGAGCGCCACGATCCGCCCCGTCCCGCGCTCCCGCGCCTTGTACACGTTGCTGTACGTGCCCTGCCCGACCTTCTCGATCTTGTCGTACGCGTCCGCGCTCTTGGGCACGATGCCCTGCAGCGCCTCGCGGGGCACGTTGTCCAGGAGCCACGTCGGCCACCCGTCCACCAGCTCGTCGTCACGCCGCGGCGGGTGTGGCGGGAGTGGCGACGGCGTCGCCGACGTTGCGGCCGACGACGACGCCTGCTGTGCCGCGGCGTCGGCGTCCGGCGTCTTCCCCGCTGGGACGACGGCGGCGCCGGGGGCAGCGGCTCGGAGGGCGTGTTCTTTGTGTAGCGGAGCCGGAGCGCGCTCGGCGGCTGCGGCGGCGACCGGGATCGGGTCGGAGAGGCGGGAGACGCTGGAGCCGGGACGGTAGGCGTTGTCGCGCTTCAGGCGGTCCACGCCCTGGCCGTCGCTGCGGGCGGGCGAGCCCCGCGAGGGCTTCCCCTGCGCGCACCCCATGCCGTCTCCGCCGCCGCCGCTGCTGTTCCCGCGCCGGCGCCGGCGCCGGCCCAAGAGGAGGTGAAGCTGGAGGAAGGACACGGAAGGAGGCATGAACGAGGCGGGAACGGGCCCCCCAGGTCGCGCCAAGCTTATAACGCTCGCTCATCGCTCACTAGAATAATAGTATTACCAGCGGCCGGCCGGCGCCGGCCGGCTCGGCTTGCGAGCGCCGCGCGGCGTCAGAGCGTGACTCGCGTACGTTGCCGTGCACTGCCGCTGACCTGTCTGGCAATCTAGCCTCGTGTCGTGGCAAGGTCAGTGCACTGCAAGACCAGGCCGGTGCTCGGCCGGCACGGAAAAGGGCGGACGCTGCGGAGGCCATATGGCGGCGCCATGCAGCCATGCAGGCCAGGCCAGGGCTGGGCTCGGCGACGCATCAGCCTCGCGGCGTTCCCGAGGCTTGACGACGGGGTCCTACGGATGGAAACAGCAGTACCCCAGGACGAGTCATTTTGCCCTTTTTCTTTACAGAATTACTCAATAGCAGTTGCCTGCTATCCTGCTTATCCGTCAGTCGACGGGGGAAAAAAATTCTCAGCAACTCTGCTGTACCGTGGCTCCCGTGCAGCACCAAGTGCAGGCCGTCGATGTATCGTTCTGCGTGAATCTGTACAGCACGATTGCAGCACGACGGCGGCCATGCGCCCGAGCACGCCCACGAGCCCTTTGCGACTAGAGACTGCACCTACATCTGACCATACCAACGGAGACAAGGAGAAGAGGGAGCCCGACCGTCGTACCTGTCCACCGCAAACCTGACAAAAACTTCGCGTAGCGCCGCCAACACCATCACTCCTACCCTTTTGGCACAGCTAAGAAGCAGAAAGCTGGACTGCTAAATGGGCCAAAAAGAACGGAAGGAATATTCGCAGACGGTGGAATTTGCGTTACGCAAGAACTTCTGGAAGGAACAGCAGCTGACGATGCCTTGATGGCTGTCCTGTGTGCTGTCAGGGCGTCATCAACGCTGCTTTTTGAGCAGTGGCTTCAAAGTGCCATGGATCGGATAAATAAAGTAGGAGCTCTAAAATTTTTCACAGTGGCTTGCAGAGAGAAAATGTGATTCATGCTAAAAAAGAAAAGGAAGAGAAAATAAAGGTGAGGCATGATAAAAGAAAAAAATTTCTTTACCAGCCACAAACAGTGATAGTTTGTATTATGTGAATAATAATCTTAATATTTTCCAATCTATGTGGATCACTTTATTTATACTAGAACCACTAGAAGTGTTAGCCTTCATCACTGGTTGGTGCCCTTAAAGAGCAACATAGACAAGGTGCCTTCGCAGGGCAGTTCGTCAGCCACTTGCAGCTGTTGCCACAGTGTTTTTGTGAGAGGACCTGCAGCCGCTGTAGCAGCAACAGCTTTTTTTTAGCGCAGCCGAACATTGTCCTATGGAATACTCTCTTCCAAAAAAGAATACATCTATGAGTTACATGCCAATTAAAGTAGTTCATGTTTGGTCAAATTTCTAGTAAATAGTATTTATATTTATGACTCTAAATTAATTTAATATAAAAATATATTTCATAATTAATCTAATCATATTTATTTGATATCATAAATATTGTTATTAATACTTTTTGTCTATAATTGGTCAAGCTTAACATAACATACTTTAAAAAAAAAAGGACACTATGCTTCTTTCTGGGACGGAGGCACGGAGCCACACGGCTGTAGTAGAATAGTGATACGAACAAGCACCGACTTTACTTGGACAGGCTGTTCAAGTCGGTGATAGAGAGCTGAGCTCCATTCAAAATCTTTTCCTTGTTTAAAAGAAACGAGCAAGGCATCAATCACACTCTTCTGGTCACCATTTCACTCTTATGAATCAGTGTTATAGCTAGGAAAACCTATAGGGCCGACAGTCACTTCATCATAGCATTGAAGGAAAAATCCCAGACAACGGGAGTAATATGGTACCGTCATGGCGTCACCTCTAGTAAAATTTGACAGATTACAAAACCATCCGCAGGTGAAACTATGAAGATAACGTATGCCTGGGGGTGCAATCCAATTTCACATCAGAATCCTGTAGGGATAACCAACTATCTTGCCAAGAATCCCAGAAGAATATATCACCTTCATCTTCCGCTAGCACCACCGATGTATGCCGAGAGGTCAAGCACCAGAACTCCAGCGACTCTGCCCCTTCGAGGTTAGCTCAAGCTGAACGACGCCAGCCTCTGCCCCCACAGTGGTATTTCACAATCCAATTTCTTTACACAAGGAACAAATGTTAGGGATTATTCCACTCCCAGAGTTTCTAATGATGGCATCACCTGCAAAATCCTTCAGCAGGGATGATGGGTCCTTTGACCCACCGAACCGCAAGAATTTGTCCCTGATGGCACTGCCTGCACTGCGGGACAATGGGTCTTCTTGGCATACCTCTTGCCATATAGTTGTGGCAAAACATCTAGCATAGAGATAGCTATAGTAGCCTGCAATAGTGTAATATAATTGATGTAGCTATATGTCTACGAGGAGTGAAGAATGATGCAATTCACGGACTAGAGGACAGCTCAAATGCTTACCAGCACCATAGGTTATGAGATGAGTAAATCGAGTATGCCAGTGTGTGCCTTCTGCGTATTTCCAACTTGTATGTTTCCTTCTCAAATCGGCAACAGTGGAAATCGTGTCCATAGGCTTGGATGCTTGCTCCCCAAACAAGGTTAGGTCCATTATAGAGTAGAAGATCTGGGAAGGGGAGCATAACAGCACTAAGTGAAACAAGAAATAGGATACGCCAACTGTTCCTACTTCCTAGTGGTGTAAGAACTGCAAAGAAAAACGTACCTGCCTCTGGAGCTCAGTAGCAGGAAACATATTCCGAGAAGCATTTAGTGCCTTTACCAGCTTTTCTGGTATTGCATCTCCAGTTGTTTCATCTAGAGCAAATGTCTTCAAGACACGATAGTCCCAGGCATAATATCTGTAAATGTGACAAAACTCAACTGGGTTGACAATAAAAAGATCATATTTGGATTAGCCAAAATAAGATGTGCTACAGAATAAATTGTCATCTTAAGTAAAAACTAAAAACTTGTACATACTCAAACAGGTTTGAGGGGGTTTCAGCCACATCAAGAGCAACCCTAGTACCAGAGAAATGCTGATATTCCTGCAAATATAATATACTACCAGGTAACTAGAGTAAAGGTAATAGCAGAACTAATATATTAAGAAGAACAAGCAAAATACCGTTCTTGACAGCAGAGAATGAAGGGCATGCCCAAACTCATGAAAAAGAGTTTCAACATCTCCATGGTTAAGCCTTGCAGTTATTCCACAAGCACCTGAGAAGTTGCATACTAAGGCGATGATCTGAAAAGTGAGCATGGAGTCCATAGGTTAAAAGACCAAATGAAGCAACTTCGTGAAATTGTACTAGAGCAATATTCTATGATATATCTATCTGATTTTTACTTTACTTAATGTCGTTCAATATAATGTATGAGCATAAAGTTATGCAGATGGAGCCATAACCTGTAAAAGTTGATCCACACAGATGTTTAGGCTTATAAGCTGTGTAAAATAACTACCAAGCAAACTATTGATGCTTTTAGCTACCATTTCCTTTTATGGAAAGCCTTGATCTTGATAGAAGAACTTTGCATATTGTCCAGCAACATGGAATGAATAATGAACAAGAGAATACATACTGGCAGTTGGTAGTTTGAGTCTGATAATCTCCGCCCCCCTTGGACAGCAAAATGAGCGCATCCTGGATGTTTACCCTTTCTGGAGTAGAGATCAAGATACATGAATCCTAAATCACCCTGTTCATGAGACATCATAGCCTTTAGTTACTTTCGGCCCAGCAAACATTAGAATAGGTAAGAAAAGAAGGTAGTACACCGTCCAAGTAGTAGTAAAGGGGATCCTTTATTAGATTTCCCCTAAGCATTTAATATTTTATGAAATTTGCATGATTACAAACAACAAGAACTGCGGCCTAATCGGCAAGGCGCTACAGGCGGGACGACTTGGCGGACGACTCGCCTCAGATTGGTATGGCGTCCGCCTTACTACCATGGCGTCCGGAAGTCGTCTATTTGGCGTCCGATTCGCGCCTAATCGTGCGTGGCGGGCGCCATACAGGGGTCCGTTTCTGGGCGGCGGGAAATCGCGGAAGAAAGGGCGGGGAAAAGAGTGGGCGCGCGGGAGAAATTGGTGTGCGCAGAGAGACGCGCGGGAGAAATAGAGCGCGGAGAGAGGAGCGCGCGGGAGAAGCGGACCTACCAGCGAGCGGGAGAGCAGGGGAAGAACCGGAAGCCACACCTCGCCCGCGTGGACGCGTTCTCCCGCGCCGCCGGGAGAAGTCGCTGCCGCCGAGCCGCGAGGACCAGCCTCCCGCGGGGCCGCGGCAGGTGCTCTGGTCCTCTGCCCGTCTGCCGAGCCGCCTCCTCTGGTCCACTGCTGCTCTGGTCCTCCGCCGAGCCGCCTCCTCTGGTCCGCCGCTGCTCTGGTCCTCCGCCTCCTCTGGTCCGCCGAGCCGCCTCCTGAAGTCTTCTGTCGAGCCGCCTCCTCTGCTCAGCAGGTACTGATTGATTCCTCTGCTCTGTATTTTTCTACTTGCTTGTGGCCTCTTCTTTCGAGCCGGACAGCAGCATGCCAATTTGTTTATATTTGTTTTGCTCGGTGCTTTGCTCACTTTTACTTTGTGTCTGGAATCTGGACGGCAATTGTCTCTCCATTGCAGTGTATTGTTGGATGCACACTTGGGGCTGCGGGCTGCACAGGAGAGGACAACACCAAGGTATGACATGCTTCCAGTTCTCTAGTCTATACTACTGTTGGATGGCCGTAAGGCATCGCCTCGCCTTACGCCTTACTCGCTTTAGCGTAAGGCGGTAGTTGGTCGCCTCGCCTCGCTTTACCGCCTTAAAAACATTGAACAAAACATATAATATTACTAGATAATGATCTCCATCATCATCAAGATAGCACAGTGTAAACCATCACTATCAAGCAGTCTAATTTTAACCGTGAAGTTGCGAACCATCTACTTAGCCCAGATGAACACAAACAGGGCAAGACACATTGTAAAGGATGGTCATTCAAGCCACCGAGTACATGTTTAGCCTTAATTTATGATTTGTCATTTCAGTTTTGATAATGAATAGCAGAAAACCATGGTGATGATGGTAACATCTGCATATTTCCAAGAACTGCAGCTCAAAATTACAGATTTTATCTTATTATACATAAGTTGGGCACATACACAAATAACCAAAGCAGAGAAGCTGAAAGTATTTATTCTGTGTTTGTTGTAGAATTATCATTAAAAAGCATGCTTGATACGATTGTACCTCATCGGGATGATGGAGACAGAGCTTTATCACATCTGGATGCCATGACTCCCCATCCCTCGTAGGAATTTGATGAAATGTTGCACCAAATAATGATTCAACCAAAACATTTAGCCCTTTTAGGCACTGCGACAAGGGAAAGTATTTTGCAATGACCTGATAGATACCAAACAACGGGGGGTCAATGACTTATCCTACAAAAGGGTAAGGATTATATATATGTCAAACCAGAGTTTAACATTAGCTTTAGATACAGTTATTTCATCTCGGAGATGCTTCTCAGTTTAGCACATACTGAAGTGTCCAGGTCATATACAGATGATTTCATCATTCCAATGAAGTAATCCTCATCCCAGGGTTCTAGATTGGCGCTCTTTTCATTACATGTCCTTCTCTTGAAATTCTGTATGATCTTAAATTCCTGCATGAGAGATGTTATCAAGAGAGAGATGGATCATAGAATTTAATGATGAATTTCAACAGACAGAACACCGCAATGCATATTGCCAAAATATGCCAATATTAGTTGAATCCATTCAAACCTCTTCAGCTTTATGCTTAACAATGTTGCTCAAATCTTCAAGAAATGACATAACCACATCAGCTGATGCAGCCATGTTAGGACGAATAGCAAATTCAGCATATGATTTGCATCCCATAATCTGTAAGGCCATGAACAGGGGGAAACTATGTTACTCATTATTTAGGGCAGTTGTGCACCACGAGTTACAGTTAAGATCAATGTCAATGCTATGATTTGAATAATACAACCAATAAACTTCATAGAACGAAGAAGACGCATTACCTTTGCAAGTTCATCACGAGCATGTATAAGTTCATTAAGAACGCCAATATTTTCATGAGGTTCACAGTTCCCAACAATATATACCTGTTTTCTGACCTTTGGAGATTTTAAATAGTTAGATTTCCACTGGCACTAGATTGATAGTATGCAACCATACTCGTTGAATCAATCAAGAGGAAAAGTTAGTGGTGACATAAGAAATACAAGAATTGTTCGATGCTATAGAGACATCTTTATCCAAGTTACAAAGTTTGGTTCTATGAATATTAGAGATGTTTTGCAAGTGGAAGAAAACTTACTTCCTCATCAGAAATCCATCTTAGTGCTGATGATAGATTTCCTGATTCTGTTACAATCCTTAGGCCTTTTTGCTTTTCAGTGTTCATCTGTTTGCTAGTATTAAAACGGGAAACAGACTTGAAAAGACGCTGCATGTTCCTTGGAATCCGTGAAGCTGGATACACATCCACAAAACCTGGTTTGTTCATTACATTTTCATTGAACCTGGCACAGCCAAAAAAAAGTATACACTATCACCAAAAGACAGTATCAATCGACACTCTCAGCATAAATTCTGAAGCAACTAGTCAATTCACTAAAATGAGGCATTGCACAGCGAACGGAAAGCAACAGGATCCACGGAGAGATGTAGTCAAACTGTCCATAAAAGTTTCTAGTAAAACAAACAGAGTTCCACTCCACAGCTTAGAGGGCTATTTGGCTGACAATGGGATCAACTAGTTGCATGCATAATAGGTGCACAATGGAGCAAAATACTTTAAAATTAACCAACACCATTTTTTTCATTTTTCAGCAGTAAATGAAAATTTTCAAAGGCAATCATCAAAATTTTTTTGAATAAATGCAATAACTCGTCACAAATACTCTTTAACCTCAAATGCAATGCATGCAACCTAATTGCTTTATTAAGAACATCAAGACTACTGGGCATATAGAAAAAAAAATCCCAATACCTTTAAGCACTGAAAGAATAAGAATCAACTAGTAAGCCATTCCAAACATCTCAGTTATCTTTCATCATTTAGCAGAACTGGCAAACAAGCAAGCAGAAATCTATTCTTCAAGACAGAAGAGACTATAGGGCTTGTGCAAACATCAAGAATGGAACATATATAGCTTACCAAAAAGCCATGTTGTTAAGTGATGAAATTACTTGCCAATAGATAGCTTGAAAACATGCAACTAAAAATACAGATTACAAAGCAGTTCAGCAGCAAAGATGGTAACGACTATATACAGAAATGGTCCATTTTTTTTTTTTTTGACAGATGTAATAGCCAGCTTTTATAGAAAGAAAGGAAAGTGTCCAATTAATGTACCTACTTTCTACCCAGCTGGGCAATCTCAAGGTTCAGCTGATTAGCATTCTCAAGTTTATCTGCCAAAAAGGAGAACTATGATTTACTTTAACAGTCAAATGTCATTAGTAAAGAAAAAGAAATATAAAGTTCAGTTGTGCAACCTTTAGGAAGATGTATCCCTCCTTTTTCAAAGTCAATGCGCAAGGTAGTTGCTGCTCTTCGAGCTTCCTCTGTGAGCAGGACACTTTCACCTTCAGCTTTCAGTATAGCATTGTACAAAGTAGTGTTTGTATTCAGGTACTGCAGCGCGTTACAGAAATCAAAATGTTACTATAAATTGATCAAGTGATTTGATTTCACATCTTTTGCAATTAGCTAAAGGATGGCAAGGTTTCACAAAAGTGTTTGACAACCTATCATAATACTTTATGATCACTATACTATGCAGACATGTTGCTTGTTTAAGCCATTATTACAGATAACAGTCCAAGTCCATATCAAGCAATGTTCGATGTCAAGCTCACCTGAAGATGCTCATAAATCCTCATTGACGCCTTATCTGCCTCCTCCACAAACTCCCTAGCACACAAGTATATCTCCAATTCACAAACGAGAAGACACATTGCCACCCAGCACCCAAATTGCATGAGAAGCACAAACTCACCTATCAGGGTGTGTATTCCTGCACAGCTCGGCCGAATCAATGACAGAACAAACCTAACAACACCATCAAGACATAGACACGTCAGCTACGCGCCTACTCCTACGCTGCATCAACTCAAACAGATTGATTCAAAAAGGGACATTCAAACAACACTAGCAAAGGAGGATGTATATTACTGTATTGGAAATCTCGTCCATGGTCCGCACTATCTCTGGGGACGACGGCAGCAGCGCGACGCGTGCCACGAGCTCGTCCGACCTGCGAGTTGGAGCAAGCTTTCACTGAGGTTTAGCAGCCCATAATTTGATAGAGGCGTGATAGCACTGGGTGAGTGGTGTCGGCCTTCAGGCTTCCCCCTTTACCGCTGGATGGCGTCGTCCACGAAGCGGCGGAACCCCTTCGCCGTGCGCAGCACGTCGAAGCCGTATAGCCCCGTCTCCGGCTTCTCCGAGACTGTGGAGAGCGCCGCCGCAGCGCCGCGACGGATGGCGGCGGCACGCGAGAGCATTGCGGCGGGCGCTCAGTTGGTCAGCTTTGAGGGCTACTTTAGAGCTTCCGTGTTGGGTCTCCCTCTGCTTGTAGTTGATATACCCTCGTGATTTGTGTCGACGGCGTTGTGCTGCTCGCTCGGCTTCCGTCTCCGCCGCCGCCGCCGCTCGCCGGGGCTCGGGAGCGACAGAAAGTGGGATGGGGAGGCGAGCCGTGGAAGTCACTGCAAAATGAAAGGGGTTCGAGGGTGCTTACGCAAAAGACCCCTTCGCCGTTTCCTTTTGCTCAATCAAGGCCGCCTATGGTTGATCGAGCGGTCAGCGATAGCTCCAGTTTGGATGGCGATTATTCATCGGGATACAAACTCTGAGGGCATAGACGGAAACAAAGAATAGTTTGAGGGCCTCCTACAGAAACGTCCTCCAGTTCCCTAACGCTCTTCGATCTGGGCCGCATAAAGCCGCATCGGACGGCCAACAAAAAACACCTAACCGGGCTGACATAAAAAACACGGTTAGCTGGAGCCTGGAGCTCCTCGCCGTCGCTTGCCGGAGCAGAGCGCTGAGCGCTGCCGTTAGCCGGACGGCAGCTGACAGCTCTCTCCTCCTCCCTGACATCCTACACCTCCTGTATACTTTTCTGGTTGCTCGCCGGATACCTCATCATCGGCATTCTGCAGTCTCAGCGACCTGAGGACACTCACCTCCACTAGAGCTCTCACTGTAGTGGCTGCTTCGCGTTCCATATGGAAGTGGACAAGTGGTTCAGTAGAGATCTGTAGTGGTGAGTAGTAATGATGAAGCACATATACAGTACATGGTAACAACTAGCAAGAACCTTTTTCATCAAAAAAAACTAGCAACAACCTTTCATCTAATTGTGCAGAGTCTAATACAAAGACCATGATGAAACCAATAAGAAATTCTGATTCAGATACCCCACTCTACTGGCTGACCATATCAAATACACAGCAAAACAAATTCTGATTTAGATACACCAGTCTACTGGCTGACCACATCAATACACAGCAAAACAAATGTTGATTGTGTTGTCTCGGAATACATACAGCCTAGCATCACCATCTCAGAACATTGTAGGTGCAAATCATCTACCGCGGGATAAGACAAGAGTTGTCCACTGCAGCGTGCTAGACTTTATGCCAATACAGACCACAAAGCCAGGAACAAGCTCATCAATCCTGGGAAACCGACTGACAGAGTGCGATGACCGGCGTTGCTGCCACTGCCACTGCCACCACCTGATGGTGAACCTGCAAGTACAAGGAGTTTGTGAGGCCGAAATTGCATTGTATAGGTGCCGTTTGGAAAGGTTTATTCAAGGTCTCTTCCTGTTTGAGATGAAGTTGCAGTTGACATATGATGTGAGCTAATTCAGTTAAAGAAGTTTAGTTAATAGTTCCATTTAAACAGTCAGATGTACAATTTCCTTTTGGTGGGTGGGTGGGTGGGGCGCACTGAACCACTGCTTCGAACTTCAAAGTTAAGAGCTGGAACAACAAACGATACTTACTACAAGGATTTAAGCTAGATAGTTCATGGAAAATTAGCAAGTTTGGTGACTATGTAAAAGCAACACCACTAAAACACTACGAGCATCACCCTGTTAGGCAGGCCCAACAGATTGTTTATAGTTTCATTTTAGAACAACTGTTCATGTGAAGCAGTGTTGGGCCACCATCAATTACGATGAAATTATACTCCTGACATAGTGCTCGACTGATCTCTGCGGAGTAGTTGTTTGGTAGCAATCCTATCACCACTATTAAGCATGCGAAAATTCCTACTTTGTACTGCATTTATTATCTGTTTCAGTAGCTGGTGGCTTCTGCCAACAACTGGTTTTCCAAATGGGTATACACATACAGAAGCGATCCAATCTGCAAATGAATGCACTGCATTGCTGGCAATAGTAATCCTTGGGACCATGCCTAACCATACAGAAACTTTTTAAGCGTGCTAGTGCAATCGCTGTGCTCTCACTTGGTTAGGAGTCGATTTGGATGCGCTTCATCCTTTGCTAAGTAACATAATCTCTGAAAAGTTTCTGACTCAATATATATGACTTGAATCAATTTTCCCTAAAACCACACTTGAAATTTAAACACATGAATTTTCTATTTGGTAATGGAGGAAGTTCCAGTTAGCAAGATATCACACAACAAAGTGTTGTAACCAAGCAAAGCAAGGGGAAGAGCACTATAGTTTACCTGGAGGAGACTGTGTAGGAGAAAGGCCTGTAAAATAAAAGTTTAAAGACATTTATCAGAAAATAAAAGATATACATCAAATTTATTTGAAGAAAAAAACTGTGTGCAGCTAATGTAGAATAAAAGTGGAACACCTGGATAGATACAGCACACCTAATACCATTATGTCAAAGTGCAAGGTTTGGGGTTTCGCTATGTGGCTTTCAGAGTAGAATTTCTGAACCCCTATGAAGTTCAACCCACAGTACGAAAATCCTAATCAGAACCAAGGGTCTATTACATCGTGTCATACACTGACACTACATATTTTCTGAATGGGCTTGTAAATATTATCCTAGATTTCTACTGCCAATACTGGACTGAGAGCATGAGGTCCTGGTATTTTTTTAATGGATGACAAGCTGCCACACAGCTAGATTAAACTAAGCTCATGCTCATCACGGGTCAGACTGAGGAAACATACACAGCAGCTGTAATTTTAATGGTTCTGAGCCTTTAACCAACACCGACAATGGATCTCATTTCAATGTTCGCATCTAGTACTAGATGTTTCCCCCTAGTTGCCATTGACCTGATAGAGATGGCAACGTACCCAACTTGCCTACGCCAGTAGCAACTCACGCGGAAACGTAAGTCACGGGCCCTTTGCACACTTTTCCCGGCCTTGTGTTGCTGGCTTGCTGCTTGTTGCTTAATCACTTAGCTGATGCCTACTTTGCGCAGATCGATCACTGAGCATGACAGTTTGATCGCTAAAGATGATTGCTTTACCTACTTTTGCAACTCGTCGCTATTAATCAGATGCTGGAAAATCTCACCTGAAAGATAAAAGGAAGAACATTCATTTACTGCACTGAAAATGAAAGTAGAATTACCCTTGCAGGCGGCGGTGGTGTCGCTGAGGCCGCAGCGCTTGGAGAGGCCGAGGGCCGCGTCGAGGCTGATGTTGAAGGCCTTGAAGATCTCCGGCGTCGCGTAGAGATCGCAGAGGCACTTGAGGTCGTTCTGGACGGAGTCCTTGAGCGGGCCGCAGCAGGTGTCCGGCGGCGTCCCCGTCGTGTTGATGTACTGCGAGCACGGGACCAGATTCGCCGCGCAGTTCGGCGTCGTCTGCGCCGCCGCTCGGGGCGCCAGCACGCCCATCACCGCCACCAACGCCACTGCGGCCGCCGCCGCCATCCGCATCGCTCTCTCTCTCTCTCTCTCTCTCTCTCTTCTGTGGAGCGTGGACAGACTCCCTCTCCTCTCCTCTCTGCTGCAGTGTTGCTGCTCGCTTCCCTCTCTCTGTCTTTGGGGAGGAGAGAGCAGAGGAAGCCAGGAAATGTGGTGCCTTTTTTACAAGTGAGAAGTGCTGACTCTGGGCGGTAGGTGTGCTTTGGACGGTTTTGCTTTTGGAGAGACCGGTCAGAAGTGTATATGCTTACTTTTCATTCCCATATGCTTACTTTTCATTCCCATTTGTAAGGAGTATAGATTCATGGTACTCCGTATATGTTCACCATGTTTGCTTATGCTGAAATTTGACTTATACTGATGCTTATGCTGAAATGTTATAGAAATTTGATTTATATTGATGCTTATGCTGAAATGTTGGGAGAGAAATACATTGTTCCATAACTAAAAAGTAGCTCAAGCGATATCTTCGTTCCTTTTGTCCTTTGAAAGTTGGCAAATTATAGCCTATCATTTTTCTACGATACTCTTGGAAGCTGGCAGGTAGCACTCCCAAGCTGGCAGGTTGCACTCCTTAAGCGCCTGTTTAGATGGCGAAATTTTTTGCAAAATACACTGTAGCACGTTTCGTTGTTATTTGGCAATTAGTGTCCAATCATAGTCTAATTAGGCTTAAAAGATTCGTCTCGTGAATTTCGTCTAAACTGTGTAATTAGTTTTATTTTTTATTTATATTTAATGCTTCATGCATGCGTCTAAAGATTCGATATGACGGAGAATCTGAAAAATTTGACAAAATTTCCTGGAAAACTGGACCTAAATATTACTCCTCATATTGACCTTACATCTGAGTTATTGCCTTTCACATCATCAACAAAATTTGTCCTAAGCAGAGTTCTTTGTGATTTGTTGGTTTTTTCTGGGTCAACAAAAGCAACACCAAAACTGAGCGATACAAATTGAGTTTTAACTCAGAAAATGCATAGGTACACCTAAAATTCGGTCATCATGTGATAAGTGTTTCTGTGCTAATCCACCGTTCTCACAGCCCAGCTGCAAATTGCCAAATTCCATCTCTCTATTTCGTCTGAACTTTATTGACATTTTGTATTTTGACCGTTACATGATCCTGGAGTCAAGAACAGCTGCATGAAAGAGACAATCATGTTTAGCGTTACAAAATGTACAGTAAACAGTTCCAATGAATGCATTATGCATGGTAAATAAAGAAAATACAGGATCAGTGGCCGGGCCCAGGGCAGCTGTTATTGGTCCAACGCATAGACAGTTCTGACCTCTGACCGAGCCTTGCAACGAGCTGCCTGCCACGGGGCCCAGGCGAAGCTGCCACCGTAGACCATGGACGCGCTGGGCAAATACTTCGCTTGGATTTTGTGCTCCATTCCATCCATGGCAAGAAGAAAAACGGCAGAGCTGAAGCGGTTGCGGCAGAGACGGCACGCAGAGCGTGAATTTCCACGAGAAAACGTCGATGATCCTTGTGTAAACATTTGACCAATTCTGCACCTTTTTACTGAACAATCGTGTATTCGTGTGGGAAAGGAAAGCTAGGAGAGGGAAAATTATTGCTACGTATGGACCTACGGTTGGTCACGGATCAGAAATATACAGCCTGTTCGCTTGGTCGTATTTGGCTTATAAGCCATGGTTTATCAGCCATCGAACAGTATTTTTCTCTCACACCAAACCAACCAACCAATAGTACTTTCAGTTATAACTTATAAGCCAAACCAGCCTAAACGAACAAGGCGGTAGAGCCTCGTCCACCTCAGAATCTCAAATCAACATGACAATGATTAAGATGTTGTAATGCCGTTCATTATCCATGGATCAAACAAACATCGGTGGCTTGTCATAAAGATTGCCAGGGCCGGAAGTACAAGTGCTGACTGACTCGGTTCTAGAACCAGAAGAGAAGTATCCTCGTCAGTCAACTGATACGTCTTCCTCTCAGTCTCGGTCGATCCCTTCCCGCAGCCCTCACCAAAAAATCGGTTGATGGATAATCGAGTTTCAAACAACTGGAGCAGAACCACCCTGTGTCCCTGTCACAGTAGTACTCATACAAACTGTGATGATATGCCGGTCAGATAGCATGACATGTATAGAAACTGAAACTAATGATATGCCGGTCAGATAGCATCACATGTATAGATGCTGCACCACAACTGGAACCCCGATATAGCAGTAGCAGCGAAGTATGACTCGTGTCAACCACATCATCACGTAACACGATGGCTGAACTTAAGTATAGATCAGTAACACAAATCAACACATATATCTGTCTAGAGCATAGAAGCAAGCAGTCATAAAGGTACGTGGCTTTACCAGAAAGAAATTGTTGGCCATGATCCCTGATTCCCTGAGTTGCATGCACGAGCATATAAAATTATACTTTATCAGCTTCAAACAATAGCTGGTAACGGCTGAAAGCGTACCGAATCACAACAGGTACAGGCTACGCTACAAATATGAAATGTGGGGAAGCGTTCCTCTCTAACCAGCCGGGTATCGAAGCAACTCTAAAAACAATTCACCATGCTGCTCCTCCATAGCATGGACCTGACGGCCCAAGTACAGTTCCTCAAGCTCTACTTGTCAAGAAATTAAGTTTGGACATGTGCGAAGAACTGAAGATACTACAAAATTCTGCCCCAAAAAAACTGCTCCAAAGATAAGGATTAGTTCGCGATATTCTGATCTCTGTTAAGCAAACAGACTGGCTATGTGATGATCACTGTCCATTACTCATTCGTGTTGCTCATATATTTGCATGTAGGTTTCTGAGAGAGCTACCATTTGAGGAAGAGTCTCAGTAACATGGAGGTCCTGCATCTCGTACCTGAGGAGGAGAATATCAAATGAATAAATCGAGGTTACTGAGATTCAAAAAAACAATTCCGTTTCAATACTGCTGAGGAACGTACCAGGCCTCTTCTGATTTCCGCTGTACAAATACTCTGTAGCATCCTTCGCCTGGTTTGCCATCATGGACAATGTTTGCTATGAGGTCATACTTTGAACGTAGCTTATGATTCTCTTTCGGCTTAGGTAATGGAATGTAGTCCTTCAATTCCAAGTTCTTCACAGGAAAATTAACTGGCACATTGAGTATTAAAACATGTATTAGAATGAGTCACCAGGGAGCATGACAGCAAATTTAATCAAGCAAGCACAAAATCTCACCGAGAGTAGGGTTTTTCTCGACAAAGAAATTATTTTTGGTAAACCTTCGCATATGAAGGATCAGATACTTCGGCAGTCTAGTGACTCGGTACCTCATTCGGGCAATGGATGGTCGGACAACCTCCGTCACAGTCTCACCATCAAACTTCTTCAGTATGTTAAATAATGGTACCTGAACAGTATGATAGATTTAGAATCCCAAAATACCATCACAGAAAACTAGACCCCCCCACACAGAAAAAAAAAAACTCAAAGTTGGGGGAAAACATGGAAAGAAATGACAAGGTTTCAAATGGCGTGTCAGATTGAAAAATTTTGCTTCAGTAAATGTGATTCACACAATGTGCTCAGTTAGGCGCCAAAGATGATAAGTCATTTGACCCAAAAAGTCTATAAAAATCATGGTATTTAACAAATAACAATGACACCAACTGTTTCAATATGAAACATAGACACAAATATATTCTGTAACTGTAAGCATGTCTATGCTCCATGGAAATTTATGTGGGCTGGAAAGGATCAGATTAACATGTACAGCTCCCACAGTTCCAAATTAAACTTTGGTTTTGTCCTAAGTCAAACTTCTTTAACGTTGACTATTTATAGAAAAAATCCACCAACATCCAGAACACCAGATTTGTTTCATTAGCTTCTTCATGCAATATGTTTTGATAAACAATTTATTTGAACTTGTAGATATCAATATATTTTTCTAGAAACATGGTAAAAGCCAGAGAAGTTTGACTTAGGACAAAGTCAAAGTGAACTATAATTTGGAAGTCAGGGAATACTAAGCAAGTAAGCATTACTCAAGCAAGACTATAAGAGCAAGCATATTCTTCATCCTAAACAAGAGCAAAACTAAAAGCATGGGGTTACAGTGAAGTTAAGTTTGAAGTGCTAAGCCATAACATTGGTGTAACAGATATTGTCTTACAGCTGTTCACAGGTGGTCTTATATGTAAGATGTAAGGAATTTGAAGCAACATCCTCCAAAATAGTTCTAGCAATAAGACAGGGGAACCAAGCTTCACTGATACGTGGATGCTCAAGCACACTGTGATGTTGTTTATTTTGTTCTCACATCAATCCCAGAAATCTTAGCAGCCCACATCATCCTAGAGTCTTACTATAAGCATCGAAGCTAAACATCCACATGAGATCATAACCAGAAAACTACATAGGTGCTTGTTAAAGACATACCTGTGGAATGATATTTTTCTCCATGGCATCTTTGAAAAGAGGTGGAGGTGGCAGGTCAAGACCGAGCATCAGGAATGGGACCTTAGATGTTTCGGTAACAATTCCATCTGCAGTTCCAACCACTGAACCTGCCTCACCATTCAGCTCATCGCCATCCTCTCTTTTTTCCATTATATGCTTCCTATGAACCTCCTTAACAACTTCAAGTTCTCCCTGCAGGAACAGTTCCAATGTGGCCTGATAAGTTGCTGAAATGATATCAATTATACTGTTGATGTCCACTTGTCCAGAAAAGCTAACCTGAAAGCAATCATGTATTATGCTTCTGTTTTTCTTCTTTGAGCTTTTTAGTTTCGCATGCAGTGTGTTTAAGAGCCATGACATAAATTCCACTGGATCTGACTGTACACCAATCTGAAACCGTTTGTCACTGGCCTTCATAACTGCTTGCAGAAACTCATGTGGACTAACCTGAACAAAAAACAAAGGGTTGTTGCATTATTGGTTTACAGACAAATCTTCATACAAAGGGATAGCATGAAACATGCCACAAACTGATTTAGCAAACCAACCTGGCCCTTGAAGTTCCTAGCATGCCAAATCTTCCATGTCAATTCCCCAAAACGATGAACCAATGGTGATTTGCTATGCTGATAGTTTTCAGGGATTAGAAAGAAATTTCTCAGAGGCGTAACTCTCATTAATGACTGTATTGTGACATTCACAAAATCAGTCTCCTTGATGTTGTTAAGACCCACCTGCACAAAGCAGTGATTATTTAGATAAGATAAAAAGGCAATAAAGCATTAATAGCAAAATACCTAATTCCAATGTGCAATAAAAGTATACTCTTGAAATTAGATTTAGTGTTATTCATATAACAGAATAGTAAAATCCAACAGATCAACTGAAGAAAAAACTGCTATGATAAGTTAAGTGGACAGTGTTTGTATGTAAGTCCACAACATATTCAGGCTTCACATAGTAGTGCAAAAAATCTTTAAAAATGCATTTGCTAGCTGTTTTGTGATACACCAACAAACAATTTTCCCAGACCATAAAAAAAAATTGAAAGAATTGATTAAGGAAGATTCCTTCCACAGCATAGCAAAGAAAGTGCAGCAGGTAAGCCAAACAAGATCATCTAAGGGCCCTTGTGTCAATTAAGTATACATACCATTCCAGGTAGATAATTGGAGCCATCAAGTGCTCTAGACCACTGCTTATTTTTGTCAAGATTTAGAACCTGCTCTTTAGTGAACCTGCCAGAACAGTATGCCAATTAACAGCCTTCACTGCCAAAGCCATCAAGTGATGTTGGAATGTAACATCAGAAGCAATGGAGAATCACCTTGGATTGAGAACATGCCGAATATCTTCTAACGATGGATCATTAATCTCATATCCATCAGGAAGACAGTAAGCCTTCTCGGTTTGAAGATTAATGAACACATGATGGCCTGCTTCAAGACTGTGTGTATATGCATGAGATTTTAACCCTCTTCCTTGGAAATATTTTCCACAGACCAAGCACGCATACACATTCAAATTTGACAAGGAGATTGAACAGAACTTCTCAAAATCAAAATCAAGAACCTGCAGAGCAGCACAAAATGAACTCAGTTGTAAATAACCATGAGAAGTAATGAAAAAATGTTACAGGGACCAGATCAACAAAGAAATAAGCCAGCAGAGGACAGATTATAGATAGATAACATACACACAATAAGGCCCTGTTTCGATACCAGGACCAATGTTTAGTCACCTAAAATTTCCAAACAAGTGAACTAATAGGTGGACTGATTTTTAGTCCACAACCCAACTAACAACTAATTCACTAGCTGGCAAAGGGGACCTAAAGTGGACTAATAGCTACTAGTCCATGTATCCAAACACAGGACTAAACTTTAGTCACCTAACAATTAGTTGTAGCAACTAGAGGACTAAAAATTAGTCCTGGGTGATCCAAACAGGCCTTAAGAGTAGTCATGCGTAATTGATATAATTATACTATGCTGGACAGTCTACCAAGATGAACAGGCATCACTGATAAATATCAGGAGCTATTAGGATGTCACTCGGCCATAATACTGGAATTCACTTTGAAGATACTGGTAAACTATATTGTAAGTTATGATTGTAGGAATACATGAAGGGTGGGCCTGGTGCAAGTGGTAGAGTCTTACCGCCTGTGACCGGAAGGTCCCGGGTTCAAGTAGCGGTCTCCTCGCATTGCACAGGCGAGGGTAAGGCTTGCCACTGACACCCTTCCCCATACCCCGCACAGAGCGGGAGCTCTCTGCACTGGGTACGCCCCTTTTTATGATTGTAGGAATACATGTTAATCAGCCATTTCAGATCACATAGATTATATACATTTCTAGCAAAATATCAGCAGTTATTAATTCGACAGTAACTAGTACTTCCTGTATCTGAGGTCACTCTTGTACTGTGAACAAAATAGTGTGTTTAAGCCAGCAAATTCGCACCAAGGCACACGAAATTGACATATGAATGCAATTGCACCTGTCTGTTCACGGTGTCGAGGTACGGGCAGTCCCGGCGCAGCTCAACCTGCCTGGGCCTCCTCTCCGGAGCCCTCCTCACGTCGTCCTCCTCATCGTCAACCTCCTCGTCCTCCTCCCCCTCAGGCTCCACCGCGCGTCGGCCATTCGCGTGGCCCCTGGCCGCTTCGTCTTCCTCCTCGTCCTCGTAGGTAGCCAGCCCCAGCAGGGACGCGCCCTCCGCGCGCGGCCGCTTCTCGGCGGCGCCCCCGTCGGAGAGGTCCTCCCCTTCTTCCTCGCGATCGCGTTTCCGCGTCGGGGATGGTTGCTCGTCTGCGCTCATCGGCCGCGGCCGCAGGGGGGTCTAGGGTTTGGGGCGTGGGAGCGGCGTGGGCGGAGGCGGGCTCGGAGGATGGATAGAGGATGGATGCGTGTCGTGCTGGGCGACATGTAAGAGCAGATAAGCCGTGTCTTGTAAACCGTTGGCGTAAACATCTATTTACGTTTTCCAATTTAAGTCTGTTGAGTGGGCCCTGCTGGCCAGTCGGTGTAAGAGAGCACATAAGTGCTGAACCTGTGTATGGACCAAACAATCTTCAGAATAGTTAAACAAAAGCCAAGGCAGAGGGGTTACCCTGCCGGCGTCCTCGTCATTGACTACTCTTGTGTGTGCTCACGTCAACGGCGATCGCCAGCGGCCAAGGGTGTGACAAGTGGTATTAGAGACACTCTATCCTCGGCGTGGATGACGGGTGCAACGCTCTTCCTCATCGCTTCCTACCCGCACATCCGACGCATTCACCGGCGGTTCTACCGGTCCAACGTCCTACCACCTCCCTACCTCCTTCATCACCGTCGTCCGCCGTTTCTGCTCCGCATCTGCTCTTCCCTCTCAGGTACCGTCACGATCCCGTCACTTCGATCTACAGCTCGTAATTCCGGTGGGCAGGTTGATCTCCGTCACGCCCGCGTGGTGTTCGACGCAAGGTCCCAGAGGTCCCTCCTTTGGGTTGAGTTGGGTCAGTGACAGTTTTGGTGTCGGCTACCTCCCCCTTCCCCTCTCCACTCCTCCAGAAACTCCATCACTTCCACCAAATCCTTCTCCTCCTCCGATTACACCTAGTGGTTCGGATCTTGTCCATCTGTCACCACGGCTCCACTTAAACCATCGAAACAGACCCAAATTCTGTTGGACACTATGGCCAGAAGTGCGGACGATGAGAAGCAGTTCATGGACCAGGTCATGGAACAATTCGATCTGTTATTCACCAAAGTCAATGATATTGGGGAACTTCAACAGCAGATGAAAGCCCAGATGGATATCAGGGGAGCAGCCATGGATAACTATTCTGCTGAACAACACATGATCGCTCAACAAGTCAAAGCCAATGGGGCAGCAGTGGCACAGTTGACAATGAGACAGTTTGACAATGAGGCTGCTTATGATGATGATGATGGGGCATCCATGTTGTTTGGAGAGAAGGCATCCTTTCAAAATGTCTTTGCCAGGGATAAAGAAACAGTTAAGGCAGAAACTTCCAAGATTAGAAGACACCCACACATAATTGGGAAAAGAGATACTTTGCCCAGCACAACTATGCCCAAAATGCAATTTCCCAAATTTGATGGTACAGATCCTAAGATATGGAAGGATAATTGTCAGAGTTACTTTGATTTGTATCGGCTGCCAGAGGGCATGTGGATTACAGCAGCTCATTTGCATTTTGAGGGTAATGTTGCTAAGTGGTACCAAGCTTACAAGCTAAACCATACTTTCAGGGATTGGGATCATTTTTGTGCTGTCGTGGAAGAGGAGTTTGGAGCTGATGACTATCGAACAGCCATGAATGATTTATTGGATCTCAAGCAGACTGGGACAGTGACAGAGTACACCACCCAGTTCCAAGCATTGCAGTTCGCTGTAACCATGCACAATCCTCATTATGATGACATGTTCTTCACACCTCATTACATCAGAGGTCTAAAGGAAGAAATCAGGGGAACAGTAGAGAGTCAAATGCCAACAACGGTGCATCAGGCTTTAGTAATTGCTAAGATTCAGCAGGGAGTCCATGACAGAAGCAAGACTAGATATCAAATAAATGTCACTCAACCAAAACCCTACATGCCACTAAGAGTTGAACCCAAGTCAGCCACTCCACTCAATTCTCTATGGAAGGATAGCCAATTAAGGGACTACAGGAAGGCAAATGGTCTTTATTTCAACTGTGGTGACAAATTTGTACCTGGCCACCTAGAAGTATGTCTTAAGAGAAACAAGCCTCAAGTCAATGCATTGATCATCAATGATCTTGATAGAGAACTATCTGATGAGGTCCTCAACCAACTAGCAGCTGAAGACACACTTCATGAAGACTTTTGCTAGTTGTCACTACATGCCATTTCCAGTGTGGACAATACAAACTGTATCAAGCTGAAAGCCAAAGTCCAAGATAAGGTGATGCTCATTCTTGTGGACAGTGGTAGCTCCCATAGCTTCATTAGCTCTCAGTTTGTTGCTTTGACAAAGTTACCTACAATGTCCACTCAAGAAAAAAAGTCAAGCTAGCAAATGGTGAATGGATGACCACCAATAGAAAGGTACAAGGATTGTCCTGGTATTGTCAAGGCCATACACTATCTACTGATATGGTGGTCTTGGATATGCATCCATATGATGCCATCCTTGGTTTTGATTGGCTCCAATCCAATAGTCCCATGCAGTGTGACTGGCAACACAAAACACTAGAATTTTTGGTCTAGGACAAACCTGTCAAGCTAAAAGGAATCACAGACCCTCCTCTCCAACTTCAGTCTATCTCAGCCACTAAGGTATTTAACTCCACAAAGGGTAATGACATTTGGGCTTTTGTTCTACTAGACTATGTCCCAGCCACCAATCCAACCAACCCTAGTGAAACTTCCCCACCATCTAAAATTCTTGCCATTCTCTCAACCTATAGTGATGTGTTCACTGATCCTAAAACCCTACCACCACAAAGAGCCTATGACTATACCTCTCCACTTTTGCCTGAATCTATCCCCATTAATTCTAAACCTTACCACTATTCACCATTACACAAAACTAAGATAGAGAGACAAGTTCAGGAGCTTTTGTGTGACAGAACCACCCAATTTATACAAGATCAAGTACGGCTGTCCCCGCTAACACGTTGACACACACATACTTTCACTTATATAAACCCGGTAGTCCGCCGAGTGTCCCAAAAGACCTCGGTAAATCAACATCACAACCAAGATCGTATGATTAAGCAAATACACATCACATATGCAGAGTTGCAGCAGAAATAATATTACAAATGGGTTCACAAATAATAGTACAAGTTTGGGTTTTAAAACCGATTAGAGAAAACAACATAGCTTTCAAATGATTACATTAATATAAGTTCCAAATACATTGCTAGCATAAGTGACATCCTTAGATAAAAGCATATAGGTGAGAAGTAAGTATAGATTCACTGAGCCCACCAGCGGTTAGCCACCATCTTCCGCGGGCCAAGAACTTCACCTGCAACATGGTGGGATAAACCCTGAGTACTCGAATGTACTCAGCTAGACTTACCCGTCGGGAACCAAAACAAATGACACCAAGGATTATGCAAGGCTTTCTTTAGTGGGCTAGCTGACTCGTTTGTGAAAAGCATAAGCTATCATGAATAAACCATTTTAAGTACTTTGCATCATCTTTATTATAACATATCCATCTAGGTAAGCACCTGTACTATAGCAATCACTTGATTAACCAACAACATCCAGTTACCAATTTAGATTTAACATATCCCATATCATCCAGATAACCATCATTGTTCCATAATAATTACTACGATGCCGTAGTTTGAGTCAAGTACTCACTATCCAGGAGCGATGACGATTCGAATCGATTCCTAACCAGCTGGTGATTTATTCCTCACACAAACCACGCTTCCCCCGTCAGGGTCGCTTAGATCACCAATGACACTTTCCAAGTAGTCGCGGGATAACAGTCATGGACCGCACAACCCAGGGACCGTCCGACTGCCAGGACGCACCTTGGGCTCACTCTTCGCGTCCCCGTCATACCCTCTTCAGCACCAGTCTGCCAATCCGAGTTTATCCTGGCTCGAAAAGTGTCACTAGCTTCGCGGTCGAAAGGTACTTTATTCGGCCAGCTAAATGTGAGGCATGCGTTCAACATGACAAGAGGGACGAGCAACGATCGGTCCTTAATCGACACAGACAGAAAACTAACAGCACCCCAGAACCCTGTCTGGTTGCCTCCAACTTTTTTCCATCCGGTCTTCATTTATTCCACATTACCAGGTTATATTCCACGATAGCACAATATAGCCAACCGTGATCAAGTTATCACCTATAGCTCACAGGTGACAGGAAATCACCTGACTTCTACCGGTCTAAGCAGAGCTAAGCATGATAAACGTTCCTGGACTTAAATAGGATTCATGGTAGATATTTCTGGTCAAGGAAGGTAATATGCAACAAGTGTTTCCAAACAACTCCTGTCACGTAATGCAGCAATACGAATAACTTTAAGTGACATTATTAAAATAGGGAGGCTTATAATGCTCCGGGGCTTGCCTGGGATCCGACACAAGTCAGTTCAGTTAGACGACACTCGCTAAGTGAGCATCTCCCGTCCTAGCACTTGTCCAGTCCTTTCACCTTCGGGATAGGTCCACCATACACCGTCTTCGGGTTCGGCTCCAACATCACGTCCTTCACGTGGTTCATCTAGAACACCTAGATGAGATGCAAGATGCAAGTGCATGAATATGAAGAATGGTAATACAAGATGCATCACATAAACATTCAAGATAAACACAAGATTATGCAAGACATAGACACCAATAGCTATTTAACTAACATCACACAACTAACTATAGAGAGCAAGCACATCAAGCATGACACCAGTTTAACAAGGTCACAAGTATCATAACTTGACCATAAACAAGGACATAAGCCACACTTAGCAACACATGGAGTAAACAACCACAACTAGCATATGTCTATTTCTGGACTAGAAACAAGAGCTTCATGTTTGGATCATAACTAGAGTTATACAAATCCAATAGACATGCAACAAGACATTCTGGAAAGCTTATGAAATTTTCTACAATTAATCTTTAACCATCTTAGCATGATTCTCAAGTTAACTAAGTCAAATCTACCCATTTACAGAAACTGGTCTAAACAAGACAGAGAGCAATCAATTCTGTAACCCAACTTTAAACAGCTGTAACTCTTAAACTATTTGCCCAAATGACACCAAATTTTATCTGAAGCTAGATACATGAATTATCTACAACTTTGTTATTTGCATATTAA